GCTTCGGCAGGCCTTTTAAGACAGAATACCAGTGGAAGCAAAGCTATCAAGCACATAACCCCATTTGCAGCATGTTCTGGGGTGGCTGATAGGGCATGCTCCAAGCAGCTAACTTTTTAGCTTCTGTTGCATCCAGAGTAGCCACACACTATTATTCATTAAAGGTGTGATTTTTAACATTATCCACAGCCTGCAAACTTTATTTGGCTTTTCCAGCAGAACTGTTGAACTAGTACACACCTTAAAGCCATGTTCCACTGGAATAGTTGTAAATATCTTAAAGTGCAACTGCACAAAACAATACACTTTGCTTACACTGAGAAACAGTGAAGGCACTAAGCAAGGTTAACCTACTATTAGCATGCCCAGGTGTCACTTAGGCAGTTCAACTGAAAAAATGAAAATGCCTCATAAACACATACAATGCTAATAACGGTTAATGTTGCTAATTAGTTCTGTTAAGTTTTATGAAAATGCTTTTTAGAAGGTGAGAATTCTGTGGCAAGGTATAGCAGGGGGAAAAGTTCTATATTCTATATTATCTAAAGACAGCTATACCTACTAATTGTACTGAATAGGAATATCAGGCCCAAACATTTAGCAACTTGGAGGGTGCCCCTTCAGTCACCCCTGAAATGTGTGAGATGGATGCTCAGCAAGTTTTGGTCCTAAGTGCTTCAGCTTTATACCCTGGGACCCAGGCAACAACCCTGGATTAAGTGTACTGTTAGTTGTACAATTGGACAGAAAGTAGAAATCGAACAATTAGAAAACTATGTTGCAAGTAAGCTATCACATTTGTAGAGCAATATAAGCTATGTCCCAAAGGAGTGCTTTAGGGTGGTGACAATGTTTCTAAAAGCCCTTTGTAGATTTGTTTCTGCAGGTACTCAACTGGATTTTTAACTGCTAATCAGGTCTTCTTTGCAATGTATGGCTGTGAAAGTTGGACCGTAAGGAAGGCTGAGCACCAAAGAATTGAAGCTTTTGAATTGTGGTGCTGGAGAAGACTCCTGTGAGTCCCTTGGACCGCAAGGGAATCAAACCAGTCAGTCCTAGAGAAGATCAACCCTGGCTGCTCTTTAGAAGGCCAGATCCTGAAGATGAAGGCCACCTAATGAGAAGGAAGGACTCCCTGGAGAAGAGTCTAATGCTGGGAACAATTGACGGCAAGAGAAGGGGACGGCAGAGGATGAGGTGGCTGGATGGAGTCACTGAAGCAGTTGGTGTGTGCTTGGGTAGACTCCGGGGGATGGTGGAGGACAGGAAGGCCTGGAGGAGCATTGTCCATGGGGTCGTGATGGGTTGGACACGACTTCATGACTAACAACAATCAGGTCTTCTACCGAACATGTCAAGGCAGTAGCATGAAAAGCTGCTACACTAAATAAGCCAGTGCTCAGTTACTTTGGATTTAAGTTACTATGCATTACCCAAAAGCTTTGAATTTTTAAGGAAACAGGAAAAAAAGCAAGAAATTACATTTTAAAGGTAAGAATAATTCATCATAAAGATGACCCTTTTCCTCCTGAAACGGAGCTTAATGGCTTAAAAAGATATGCATTCTTTAGTACTAGTGCCAACAATTCATCACAAATGAGTAGCTTAATGGCTAGGTAACTGTTTGCAGCCTTTGTTTCAACCAGCCTTCCCCAATCCGGTGCTGCCCAAATGTCCTAGGCTTCATCCCCGAGTAGCATGGTTACGGATGTAATGATGGGGGCGGCAGTTGCAAGGCAACACAGAAGCTGAGAGGGCCAGGAGAACCACGGCAGCAGTGGATGAGTGCACTGGCGCATGACTAGGAAGCACTACAGCACAACGGCCCTGCACCTCCACCACAAAGACAGACCAGGCAACCCCTCCACATCCTAACCTATAAGGATTCAATAGCTACATAATCACCTTCCTCTGCTCCATAGGGCTGGCTCTTCACTCCAGAAACCTCCAGAAACTTCGAGGCACTCGCCTTCCATTGTCGCTGCTTCTCCCCATCCCACAACCCAATCCTTCCCCAGTTGTTGGAAAACCCAGTCACCTCCTTCACATAAACACAAGCATTCATATTTACAAGCAAGATTCACTGCCGCTCCACAAACACGGAGCCAAGCACACCGACATTCCTGCCAGCAAAGAAAGGCGCTTCCAACGACTTTGAAATTCTGGAGGATTCCGCGTCAATAGCACCGCGCAATGGCAACCAGAAGTCTCCCAACCCACGTAAGCCAGCTTGAATGGACTGGGCGACAACTCCCAGTAGCCACCCCGCCAGTTGCTACAGCAGGGGGACGGCGAGGGCAACCATCGCCCGCCGCCCTCAATGCACGCAGACAAAGCTTTCCAGCCAGGCACAGAAAACGCATGGAACCCCCGAACCGCGCCTTCGTGAGGCCGACGTCCCCGCGCCCTCCGCGCCTCTCCCCCCGGGATCCAGGACGCACCCTTCGGCTCACCTTCGGAACAGCGAGGCTGCGCGGCTGCGAGCACGCGTGAAAAGGAGGCCCGCTCGGCCAGCAAGGCTTCCCCACCCCCGTCCGGCCCACCAATCAGGAGCCGCCGCAAGTCTCGCGCTACTTCTCGTCTGACGCCGCGCACGCCCAGTAGCGCGCTTCGTAGACGGCCGGCCGGCGCCGCCAATCAGAACGCGAGCATCGTTAATGGCCGGACGGGGCGAGGTGCTGTTCTGCAGCTGCCCTTGGCTCGGCGAGAGGAAATGTGGTTCCGCAGGAATGCGAGCGGTCACTTCCCTTCCCGCCCGCGCTTTCCGCGATGGCCTCTATGTAAAGGCTTCGCCGCGCCGCGTTTCCTGGGCCGATGGCAGGAACTCTTCAACGCCGATTGCGGCCCCGCCTTCCCCAACGGGCGCTCTCGAGGCGTTGCACAGCGCCGAGATTTAGCGTGGGCGTTTTACCGCCAGGCGGTCTGCAAGATCGGTACAGGGCGGGTGTCCTGGCGCCCCGGGGGCCGGACGAACTGGCTCAGCGGCGGTACCCGTGGCGGCGCTCTTGAGGAAGTGATTATGAACGCTCATCCGAGGCGTTCCTCCTTCGCCGGCAGCTCGAGCTCCGGTGTGTCCTTCCACTCGAACGTGGCCGGCAGTTTCCCGCCGAGGACGGCGGCCCCCACTGCAGACGGTGTGGGCAGGAGCTGGGGCGACGACGGGAGGTCCGTCCGTTTCGGCCTGCCGGAGTCATTAAGCTGCTCTGCCGCCGCGCCCCCCGCAGCTCCCAGAAGCCTGCCACTACCGTGGGTGACAGCGGGGAAGTCCGGTCTGGACGGCCCCTCGCGGCCTTGCCCGCTATCCAGAGCGGCCGCCTCGGCAGGCGCTTTCCCGCCCGACGAAGCAACGGAATTACAGCGTTGCTCTAGTTCGACGGTCGGACCCGCCAATCACAGTCGGCGGTCGGACCCGCCAATCACAGCGCTCCTACCGTGAGGGGGCGGGGAAAGCAAGTGGCAGTTGGGGCGAGCCGTTTGGCAAAAGGGCGGGAAATGCGAAGCGGGCGGGAAAGCGCCAAGCGGCGCGTGGTCTGACGGTGACCGAAGCTCCTGCCGCCCCCGCGCCCCTTCAGCATTTTTCCCTGCCAGAACGTCCGTAGACGCGCTTTAAATCCTGTTGCACCTTCCTTTTTTCTAGTTGCTCTTCAGATTACATAAATAAAACGCCCTTTTGCTTGTGCGTGTGGTTTTGCTGAGGTAAATTGCACTGCTGCTTTTCAGCCAACAAGGCTGCATATAAATGTTGAGAACAAGAAGAACATCATTTATTCCCTCAAAAAAGTCCCAAAAGGTAGTTTTCCTGACAGGACAGCCACCTGGTGATTTTAGTTGCCTTTTTGCAGCCTGCTTGTTCTGGTCATGTCCCCTCAAGTTGTCCCTGATTTATGGCCACTGCGTGCATGAAGCCCTCCAAAATGTCCAGTCCTTCACAGCCCTGCTCAGCTTTTGTAATTCAGTGCTGTGGCTTCCTTGAGGGAGCCCATCTGTCTCTTCTGGTCTTCCTTTTCTTCTGCCCTCCCCTTGATAGACCAGTACACCCTGGCCATGAACCTCTAGGCACACCACCTGGTCAGGTACACAATGATGGCCGACCCTGCGCAAACTAAGGGAGCAACTCCTAAATGCCGAGCGAGGCGAGGATGGGGCAGCCAAAACAGCTGGAGCAAGAACAGGCCCCTGGAACAATGGGGAGTGCGGGGAAATGACATGTTTACCCGGCTGCTTAAAAGGCAGAGCGCCGCTCAGGACAGGCAGCTGGGATGCCCTTTATTCCTGGCATAAAGCCGCCTCCTGAAAAGCCATGGCCACTGGGTGGTTCTCAGCCAGGCAAACTGACCATCTCGCAAGGATCCCCGATTTGGGTAACAAACTTTCCCCGGCATGACTGTCTTTTGCCTTCTCACAACCTTTCCGAAGTAGGGCAGCCTCCGTTTTGTCATCTTTGCTTCCAGGGAAAGCTTGGGCATGACTGGATCCAGAACCCACTTGTCCGTCCTACTGTATCTTAAAAAATACGATATAGACACCTTTGCGCAAGATTTCTGGCATGGCTGTATCATAGGGTATTCTGATTCTGGTTGCTTTATTTTTGATTTTCCAGGTAAACAAACAAACAAACAAACAAACATCAAGCTTACTTATAGTTGCTTTCAAAGAATAATAATTTTAACATAAATGTACCCTGAAATGCCTGATCCTGCCTAATCTTGGAAGCTAGGCAGGATCAGGCCTGGATAGAATCTGGATGGGTGGATCATTATTACACAGAGAGAGCTTTGGCTATGGGTGGCATAGAATGTAAACAATGATAAATATTATTTTAGGTATAGGTAGAAATATGGCTGTATATATGTATAGGTAGAAATG